ATATTTTTTGATACACGTAGAAGAGTGGCAGCCCTGAGCCTGCACAGGGGCCCCAACAGCGCTGATTCATCTATGATGAGAGGCAGTGGSTCAGGAATTCCCATGGATACCCCACACTAGCCAACTCTTCTGTGACTCCCAAATCCAAACTAAGGGTGACCCAAGTAACTTGCCTCAAAAAGCCAATTCTTTTTGCGTTTTTTTTTTCAGAAAGCACTTTATTCAGAAAGATCAATTCTTCTCACTGTCATATAAGCGTCATCGAACTGAGTAAGAACAGGCCCTGTCTAAGTGGAGGGCAGATGCAGGCCTGTGCTTTAAAAGTATTGAGGTTTCAATACTCCAGCCTRCACAAGGGTATTGGCAAGTCAAGGTTTTGAACTCATATTCCGCGTTTGAACACGCAATCCCYGTTGTCTCTCCAGCATTCAAAACATTAATGGCTCAGGCTTGAAACACAGTCGAGTTGAAGCGATGACTCGTCCAGCGACTRCAATGGGGAAATATTTCACAGGCAGTTTGACATCTAATTTGACACAACTCACCGCGATATAAACACATGGAAAGAAGCCAGCGTTGCAAGAGCTGACGAGAGCGCGGCTCAGTGTCCCGGCAACACGCTGTTCCCTTAACGCTGCACAGAATCCTCTCTACCTAAGAAAGCCGACARCAATCACACGGACAGCTTAAGTCTAGCCTGATAAATTAGATTCAGCATACAGCCTGGGTCCAGCAAGGATATACTGCCTGACAGTGGAGCTACACATGCTGCCCAAACCACTTCTTGTAACGAGTGCAGTCCAGCATGCAGCAGACAGCTGCCAATACTATTTTGAAGGGCTTTTGTTTCTGTTTTTAAGTAGAAAGTTTGATAGTGAGGATGCAAATCTAGGGGATTTACCTCCGGCTAAATTTGGGATTTCTTTTCAACGGCTCTCAGAGAAATCAACCGTGATGCTAAATCTGACTTCAGCGAGGCCAGGGTTTCCTCAGCTGAGGTTTTCAATTAGCCAGTGGTTAAAACAGGCACTTTACAGTAGGGCATGCCGTGCTGGGAAACAAGCATGTGCAATGCCTTCATCAAATACACCCTGCAAGAGGAATAGRCTTCATACCAGGACTTCCACATTCCCATTTTCCCAAACGAGCTGCTGCACTACAAGCTTACCTGTTATCAGCATTCCTGGCCATTTGCTCTACTCTTTGCTGACCTCTCCTCGAGCATGGCCTACTCATGGAGTCTGGGTCGTGTTTAAAGCAGGGACATACTTCCTACATACAAAATGGTTAGATGGATTAAAAAAATAAATAAACAGAGAAGAGAAAAGGAGGCTGAAAACAGACACTTATCTATTAACTCAATTAAGACCCCAGGGGTAAACACAGAGGCTGCCACACGTGGGAGTTATCRCTCACCCAGGGAGATGCAGCAGCAGAAACCCTAGGGAAGGAACTTTGTTGCGTCCTGAACAAAATGAGAGGCAGCTTCTAAAGGGGCAGAGCTGCTGAGCTGCCGTTTCTCAATGGGCTGCTGATGGGGAGTTAGGAAGCAATGAGGACTCTGTCAATACAGCTGTGGATAAAAATGGGTAAGGAACCACTTAAGGAGAAAAAAAAACAACACACAAATCTGCAGCTACCCATTCTGCGCTTTCCGGTGCTTAAGAAATTACTTGTAATAATTTTGGAAGTGCTATAGAGATGAGAAGCAAAACACAGCCATGGGACAGATCCTTTCACTAAAGCAGAAGCAGTAAGGGAGAAAGCAAGYTCGGCAGCAGTGGTCCCATCTCCAATTCCTTTCCATTTCTTTCTTTTTTTTTTTTTAAGAAAAAAAAGTTCTAGGAAAGAACCAACAGACCTAAATAATCTGCAGCCACCACAGGAGATGGCACTGGAGGAATATACATTCATTCTTCTTTTTACTTTGTGYGCAGATAAATACTGCTATAGGACACTGCTCCAAGTCCTCTCCAGCCCTGTGCAAGGGAATCCAAGCAGTTTGGCGCCCATATCCACGTGGAGCTGAGATGAGGGGGAACTATGTTAAGTTACGGATTGGGAAGAGCTCTCAGATGGCCACTGAGCTCTGCAAGAGCCCCAGGAGCGCCCTGGAGCATCTCTGCAGCTCTCTCCAACCAAGCCATGCCCATTGGAAAAAGATGGGGCCAAAACAGTAGCCAAGTCGTGTTTAAGTGAGCCAAGGACAACCCCCTTTGCGTGCTTCTGGCTTCTCCACACTAGCAGGGACACGAAGAGGCCGGGAAGGGGAACGGAGTCTGGATCCGCTTTTTCCTTTGTGTGCTTTTCCTGACATAAAAGTAACTATAATGCCTGGGGAAGGACAGAGGGAACGTGGAACTTATCTGACACCTAAATGTTCTGAGTATAAAAATGATATGTTTAACGCGCACAATCCCTCATAAGACATTAAAAAAAATATATTGAAAACTGAAAACACCAGAAATCAGTCACGGACCATAAAGCATGACTGCCTGTAAGGAGCAGCATTGATGTTCTTTGATGGAAAATATGAAGGAAAGGTCCTCAAAGCATTAAACAGAAGTCAGTTTAACCAATCTCTCTTCCAAGGCAGCAAAGGATGGTTATATTCAGCTGGTAAAGCATGCTATAGAACGAAATGCAGTGGAAATATCTGGGCATGTGCTTAACCCTGTATCCCTTCCACTTGTGTTCTCCAGCACTAAGTACTAAAGCATGTTTGATTAGGCAATAGAAGGAATATCTGTTCCTTCCAGAACTGACCACAAGCTCTTGGCAATAACACTGAGTACTTACTTTGGCCCTAACCACGTACCACAGTTGTTAACTGGCCTTCCAAAGGAAGACGTCGTGCCAAGCAGAATACTCAAAGTAAAAGAGGAAAAGAGGCAGAAAAATTGCATCTGGCTTCATATAATCAGCATTTCAATTGCTCTCACAAAGACAATCCACATAAGATTATCTCAGAAAAAGAAAAAAAAAACAACTATTAAAGTAAACACTAGAAGCAAATTTTCTGATGTTTCTGTCCTTTCTGCAGAGTAGTCCCTGGAAATTTTAAAAAATAAAGCCTGATTCTGGCTTCTTATATTCCCTCTGGCTCCACTGATATTATTCCCACAGATGAGAACTACAGATCCAGCAAGGCTGTTTTCTAATTTCAATAAAGCTACTACTTTTTTTGGGGGTAATATCAACCATGAACACTTCTCCTCTTGGGTTAGGCCTTCTGCTTAACAAGGTCAGATGAATCATGGACCAAAAAATGGCAACAAGAAAATCAAAGAGGGTTTTAATTAATTTCCCTTCTGTGTTTTTTTCTCTTTTACTTTTTTTTTTTCGTTGTTTTTCCCCCACACTTTGGAAAGAATAGAACAAAACCTGAGGAAGACGCTCATTTGAGCGGCCCCGTCTAGAAGGACCTCTGAATGCCATCCAAAGGCAAATGGCAAAATTCCCAGAAACATCATTAATATCCAAGTTTCATCTTGTACGCTTTGCTACGAATTGATATACCAGTATTTCAATGAAGATAACAGAATCATAGAATGTTCAAGGTTGGAAGGGGCCTCTAGAGATCATTTAGTCCAACCCCCTGCTCCAGCAGGGACACCCAGAGYACGGGGCACAGGGCGGCATCCAGGCAGGTTTGGAAGATCTCCASAGAAGGAGACTCCACAGCCTCCCTGGGCAGCCTGTGCCAGGGCTCTGTCACCCTCACAGGAAAGAAGTTCCTCCTCACATTTAGATGGAACTGCCTGTGTTTCAAMTTGCTCCCAATACTCCTTSTCCTGTCACTGGCCACCAATGAGAAGAGCCTGGCCCCTTCTTCCCTACATAACGTGCTACAGGGCATTTGAAATGACAGATATGACGGGATTCTCAAGCGGGGCCTTTGCCAGGCCGAGCTTCTCCCAAAACAGTAACGCAGCCCTTTGGCTCATGTTTGCCATGTGATACATACACAGATCCATAGGGATGCAAATGCGGGGGCCAGCTTGAGAAACACGTATCTGGAAACGAATATTCAGCCCTTTCCAAGCAGCGGGGGCTCCTCTCCTCTCCCTCCTGGTTAGTCCTGTGTGTTTCAAGGCTGGGGAGAARCGCGGCAGGGAAATAGCAGGACTTGCCTCCGGCCGCAGGAAGAGGCAGAGCTGGCTCGCGTTACTGGAGAGTTTGCTGGGTTTTTGACAAGAGATGACGCAGTTTCCTTGGCCAGAAAGTAGCCCAGCTTCATTCCTGCGGTGCCTGGATATGGAGCAGCTGTTCCCTGTGCCTGGGCAGCGAGGAGGAGGCAGGCAGCCTTCAGCCCGGCCTCCACTCCGGGTGGAGAGGCCGCAGCTCCCAACYTGTGCCACACGATGCCCGCAGCAGTGCCTCCCACAGAGCATCTCTGCCCCCGAGCCGACATGGAGCCTCTCCATCTGCCTGCCCTGCTCTCCTCGAGGGAGAAGAGGGCACCTCTCCGGCCAGCAGCGGGCTCGCATCCCGCGGCTGCTCCCGGGCCCGCATCCCACCCGGCCACTCCGCACCGAGGGAGCCTGGCTTGCTTTGCAGCCTTATCTTTCCACACACACTGCGCTGTTCATTGCCCGCTTCCCAAATTACAGCTGGAGAACCCTATTAACGGGCAGGAAAAAAAAAAAAAACACCACACATTTAAACCCAAACCTGTTGGGCTAGAAATAGAACTTCTCATTTTCTTTTCCAAAACACAGAAGGGCCAAGCAACAAAGGAAGGAATGAAAGGGAAAAGGAAATCTCCACCAAGCGCACATCTGGAACCAATTTGCCGTCCGTAGCCACTGGGTGTCACTTTTGATATATACTGGGTCAGCGACAGAGCACTTCAGCAAGAGGACTGGTTTTCAAGGAGGCGATCCCAAACCCCAACCGGCTGCCCTGCACGTGCACGGGCCACAGTCCGCTCGGGCAGGCACAGATGTAGCAAGGGAACATCCCCGCGTGGGCACTGGGCGCCGTGGGGCGGCTCTTACCTCTCCGTCTGCAGCGTGACTTTGGAGGGCTCCACGTTGGGGTTCTCCCACTCCATCTGCGGGCAGTGCATGAAGTAGCAGAGCGTGTAGAGGGCCTCGGGCTCCCAGTAGAGCGAGCCCTGCCTGTGGTGCAGCGGCGTGCCGTTGCCCGGCTGCTTGGCGTTGAGCGGCTGCAGGTGGTGCATGGCGCGGGACACCAGGTCACCTGCAACGGAGAAGCCGTGTGAGCGCCGCGGGCACCAGCCTCCCCTCCCTCCCCGCGCCTGCAAAGCCAAAGACATCTCCCCCACGTTTTGTTTCGTGTCTTCTTTTTTTCCCCTYCTCGTTTAACTTAACGTGTGTAAGCAGTGAATGGTACAAGGGTATCGTGTGCATTATTCATTCCTCAGTCTGAATGCGCCTGTTGTTTGCTCGCTGCGAAGACACGCATGGGCTGTAGACATGTCCCTGAGAAGGGTTTCCATGAGTGTCCCCAGCCATCGCATGCAGCACCAGGCTGGCCCACCTCAGCGCTGTCGGGAAGCAGGGATGCTGGGACCCAGGACATTACAAGCACCTGGGAGGCTGAGGAGCCCCTCTGAGTCCCCACACTGCTGGTGGGACAAGACCGAAAGGCGCAGGGGCTCACACTGCTTCTTCTCCCTGCACWACGGCTGCATCCTCGTAGCCACACACATGAATTTCCCCCTGGGGCAGGGAAATCCAGCCTCGTTATAGCAAAAAGTGGGCCATCAACACGTACCCCACCRTGTGAATGCATGGGAAGTGAAACGTGGGGTGACAGCTGCTGTGTCCCCTTGAATCCCCCTTGGAGTCTCCATCCCTGTTCARGGAGATGTGGGCGCCTGCTCCGTGCACAGCACCGAGTCCTGTAGCTCCAAAACAATAGGGTTACACCTAGGGATCCGAAAGCAGCACTGGCCTCGGGACTCTGGAGAACAATGTGTAGAGCCCTACCATAAACACCTAACCAAAACTACTGTTCTATTAAGCCAAGGAGCTGAGGCTGGGCCTTGAAACCTGAATGTTCCCAAAAGAGGCTAATCCATGAAAGAGGCTCCCTCGAGCCGCTTGGGTGTCTAGAGGAGAGAATACGGCCCGTTAGGAAGATGTTCATCATTGCCGGCTGTGATTACACGGTGCTCCAAACTTCCTCACCCTCCAGATTTGGGAAATAAGCTGCAAAAAGCAGACCGTGCTCAGCAGTCCCAGCGAATGAGAGTAAGTTAGCAGGCAGRCAGCCGGGCAAGCGCACGTGGCTCTGTGCACACTGCTCATTGCACTAATTAACTCCAGCACCTCCCGCGGAGGCACTAAATTTTACACAGCGCACATTGAAGAGTGAGTGGCCAGTATATAAAAGGTACCAGCACAATTCGGGTTAGAAGCTGCCCACTTTCACGAGCTCACATCACTCTGAAAATTTTCCTTTGGGGGAAAATAATGATCTCGGATCAACTGAGATGGTTTGTTTTAAAGGGAAATCTGAGCAAAAAGCCTGCGGGCCATTGCCGAGCTATACAAAAGCAAGTAATGGGCAACGGAGGGTAGTTTTCCAGCATTAAGAAAAAGTCGTAGATTTTCTATTATATAGTTTTCCCAAACAACCGCTGAACACTGAGACTTGGAAGGAAAAACTGGAAATCTACATTAAGGAAGGAACATAAAATGAAWTTTGAAAATTWAAAAAAAAAAGAAAAAGAAAAAGCTGGATAATGAATTTAGTAGCAAACTTAAAAGGATCCATTTTGAATGTGCAAAAGACAGAGCTAGAGGATTTTTTTGTTTGTTTTTTGTTAAGCCAAGTCCCTCCACTGCTAATACATCCCTGCCACCACCTCTGTCCAGCCTGACTTACACAGAGCAGGCGGCTGCTGCTGCTGCTGCTGCTGCGATAATTTGCACCAAGGAGAAGAGAAACGTCTCACAGAGAAATGCTCAGCCCAAGCCTCCCAAAACACACTCTTAAAACCATGAGCAGAAGAAAAACCGCTGGCAGGAGAAAACTGCCGAGTCCATGATTTTAGGGTTTTGACACAATTTTTGCAGCACTCTGCAATATTCTCCTGATCCAAAGCTTTAATTTAAAAATAGTTTCTGTCTTTTCTTTCTGCCAGGAAATGGCCAGGATAGCACCAATCTTGCAGTGCTGCATGCTCAGAATTTCCAAGAGAAKCTGTGCATGTGGAAAGCCTGCAGGATCAGGTCCCCAGCAGAAACAGATGTGCCTTGCAGATGATTACCCAGTCCTGCATAAAATTAGCTGCAGGCAAACAAGCAACAGCAGGAAACTTTGGATCTCACTTCTCTCATCCCATTCTGTCACAGCAGATGTGCATTTCCAAGTCCAGCACGGGCCAGCTTAACTGCTAGCAATATTACTGTTAGCAAACGTAATGTTCTATGTCTCTTCCAAAAGAAAATGTGTAAAATTAGAAAGTGCAACATGCAGCTTTAACGGGAACAGTGAAAGGAGAAAAAGAGAGAGTTGTAGTAAATCCTGTCTTTTATAGACCCAAGGCACTGAGGCACGTGCAARCCTTACTTAAGCAGACTGAGACAGCGCACATGAGAGGCCTCCTCCAAGCTCTGTACTGAATGATGAATGAAAGTCAGGATCTAACGTAGCCCAAGATCCAGCCACATGACTTCATCCATATTCCATGGCGTGTGCTTGGCAGCTTAATGACGCATTCGGCAACGCTGAATAAGGAGAAGAACTAACAGGAATGAGGCAGGCAGGGCTGCCAGCTCAGCACCACTGCTGCTCTCAGTCAGGAGAAACCAAAACCAACGGCCAAACCCCCAGCAACTTCCATATGACCAGGATTCATCCCTTTTTTTCTGCTATTTCCAGTACTGCATCCTAAGCATCTCAGACCAATGAATGACATTAAGGTCAAATGAATGCTTTTTCTTTTAAGCATATGCATTATTTGGTTACATGAACACCAAGAACTGACTGGATTAGAACCTGGCTTTGCCTTTTCTGTGATTTCTACGGTTTTCTTTGAAATAATTACTATATCAAATAACATTATCTATCAGAGGCAACTCAAGGCTTGAACAATCGATACCCATGAAGCATCATAGTAAATAAGCAAAAAAAATGCTGCATTATGAACTTGTTATCCAACAGAGAACTGGAGGCAGGATGAGAAGCTCTGATTTCTATTTTATTCTGCTGCGTAACATTGAACAGTCGTTGCACCCTGCTGGTCTCCTTTTAGTCTCTGACCACATCACGTTATGKTACAAGTTTTTTGAGGGCATGGATTGTGTTTTCACTTATTTATGCAGCAAGATCAGTACAAAGAAGGGAGCTGACTGATGCACATGTCCTCTACAGCAGTACTTCCACATGCCCATAGTGCCATGCACATCCAAGTGAGATGTCAGCTTGCTGTTTCAGACTCTATTGCGTACTGTTTCCTCTGTTCTTGCTTGCTAACACAYTCTTGTTTCTCCATTTTCTTCCAACAAAGAATATGCGAAGTTTAGTAGCATCACTCTCYTACCTTGCAACCTGCTATACATGGGCTCTTAATTCTGAACAGGGCCTCAAAACCCAGGTGTTTATGAAACCAGCTCCATACAGGGCCTCGCTGGTCCAKCTTCCCATGGACCAGGGTACGTTTGGGTCCCCTCGCCTCCTCCACTTGGTTGCCAGCCAAAAGCTCATCTGGGAAAGCCAGCCTGGCCTTCACACTGATATATATACTTGTYAGTCATAAAATCACAGTATATCTGAACACCAAGGGAAATCTGGACGCAGTGTCCAAATATAGTAAAGGAAACCCCTCATTCATCTTGTGAGCTCACAGAGCTTGCAGCTTTTGGTATTTCACTTGCAGSTCCCTATCGGTCCAAAGAGGAGAACCTTGGCTTCTGGTGAGAATAACATGCACCTTTCTCTCAATTGAGACCTAGCAGCAGGTCTCAATTGARTGCATCTGAAAGGCAAATAAATTCCCCAGTGCATCATTTCCAAAATAATAATAATAAATAAAACCTCAGCAGTCAGACTTTGAGTCAGTCTTTTAATTCCCACGAGGCCGCGCATGGAGGCCGGGACATCTTGGCACAAGGGTCTCAGTGGGGATTCCTGCAGTGCTGCCCCCAGCGCTCCAGCTCGCCCTGGTACCGCAGCCTGCAGCAAATTTGGGAAACAGCTCCAGGAACAGACCCCTCAAAAAAAAATCCTCATAATTTTATTTTCGTTTTAATTTAAATCGAATAAACACTTTTCCAATTCATGCAGCCGAAGCCAAATGAGCCACCACACAAATGGCAAAACTGGGCAGAGGAAGATGTGGGGGAGTGCCCGGTGTGGGGCGGACAGAAAGCAGCAGCGAGGTGGGAGGCTATTTTAGGTTGCCTCTGTCACGGAAACGTTTGTGCTGTGGAGGCAGAACTGGAGGGATCACCTTCCAGAGCACAACGGAGAGGACGGCAGCAGCCCCCGGGCCCGGATCAGGAAGGAGAAGGGCACTTGTGCGCTGCAGCTCGCTAGCCCAGGTGAGAAATCCCGAGCCTCACCCAGGTGCCAGCACACTCGGAGCTGGCGTGGGACCTGCGAAACCRCCGCTGCGCTGCGGCACGCGGGGAGGTGCTACTGCAGCTACCGGCACTGCCTCCTCCCAGGACTGAAGCAGACGGGTCCCATCGCTGCTGCTGTCAATCAGCACGTTTATGAACTCCAGATGCACACGCGTTTGATTTAAAGGCTCAAAACATTACGTAACGCGCACACTGCGGCACAGGCCTGGTTTAAGGCAATACTGCATATTTAAGGCACAGCTTCACTGACTTCGAGGCAAAGATGTGATGTGACAGGGCAAGTTAAGCTGTTCCAGTCGGCATGGGGGTGGTGCACCCAGCACCATGGAGTACAGCTGCAGCCCTCTCAAACTGTGGCCAGCTAAGCACTTCTTTTACTAGGTTTGGCTTAAGCAAAAGGTTTTCTTATTATTTATTAAAGGTATTCTTATATTTCACCATTCTTATTACTTTAGCACTCAGTGCTTTCAAGGTAACAGACATTTCAAATTCTGCAAGTGGGAGAAAGGGTGAAACAAGAAGAAAAAACAAAGAAGAAAGAGAAAAACAAACAGTGCCCAATTATCTACTTTTAAGAAGCTTCCTGCAGGATTTACGGTGTYTGTCACAGCAGACCCGCTCCTGCCAACGCTCCTGCCTACGAGC